CGTCTTTCTACCCACCAAACAAATCTGGTAGCAATTTACCGTCCCGGGGTGGGGGAAGGGGTAGAAGGCCTGGCTTGCCTGCGAGCGGGAGTCGATTGCGGGTTCCATTCCCGGACCGCTTTCCCGGACTGGTAAGCTGCCATCTGCTGTTACATCACCTCCGCCATTTACCATCATATTAATCTAAATCGATCGCAAGTCAAGCTGACGCTGTGAAGCTGAGTAGGTAAAGCTGAGTAAGCAGCAAAAAGAAAAGCGTCATGGGATAACGCAGTGAGGAAAAAGCGCTTGAAGCGAAAAGCCACAGTTTTGTGCTGGTGCCTCTTCGGTCATGGTCTGTCGGGAAAGCCGTGTCACTACGCCTAACCGAGGGAATGGCGCAACTATCCACCACTGGAGTGTGCCCCGGGGCAAATTTTTTGAAAAAAGTTCTGTCATGACGTAGATGTTGACGGTAACGGAAGGAGGTCATAGAGGAGGCAGGACCGACGAGTCACAGCTGCGCCAAGGGAGATCAGCTCAAAAGGAGGCGTAGCGCCAACGACTCGGATCGTAGCTCCCATCAAGCAAACTCGCACGACATCGCTCTCTCAGTCATTCAAGCAATCAAACAAGAAGGCGCGAAGCTGACACGGTTGCCCCTTCCGCAGTCCGGTAGTATATTTCTGGTAACATGCAATAAACCCGTATTGCGCCAACTGGTAGAAAAGCTGAACCTAAACAAACAAGAAAACAACTGGTTTGGACAGTTTTTGTGAGAGTGGAATCAGGCTCACCACTGCGTCAACCACATCAAGCCCCTGATGGATACGTTGATGAGACAATAATGAGGAGATGCGTGACAATGATGGAGGCACAACTGTAAGCGGAAGCTGGAGCTCAAGTAAACAGCTATGCATGACTGCTCACTATGTTTGTCATCAGCCGAGCCTCTTTAGTTGGCAATTCATAGCAAGCCTGCAGTGCAGTGCATAAGGAGCAGGGTAAGGCAATGCGATGCGTGAAATGGTGATGTCAGCGCGACTCGCCCGAAAACCAAAAAAAAAACTGCTGTCGAGCAGATGCTGGAGGAGAGGGGTGCGAGATGGGGTTGGAGGTGGGTCCGTAATTCACCAGTACCTCATGAATCAAGTTTCAAAAAGAATTTCCAATGAGACCCTGAAAACACTTTTCATGAATAGCCATGGATCGCCCTTCCCCAGCCACCAGGACAAGAGTAGAATGCTGCTAGCATTGCCACATGTACTCCACCAATACGGACGTCATATGTAGTGTAACCGATTGGAAGTTGTCTGAAAAAAACTAGTATAACGTCTAGATAGGGTGAAATGTGTTTAGTGTGAATGCAAAGTTTGTTGTGGCAAAAGGGGCGGAGTCATCTAGGGCATATAATGGTTCATTAATGTGGCCAGAAATGTACAGGGGCGCTTCGCGCGGAAGGTTGGAAAAAAGGCGGCGGAGTCATTCATAGGGCATGTAATGCGAGTCGCCGCTATGTGCAGAAAACGTGAGGTGGGCGCTTCGCGCAAGATTGGCAAAAAAGCGCGAGAATCCTAAGAAAAAGGGTTCAGGTATGCCTCCTACTCTTACTTCCTTCAGATTCGCTGACAGAACTCCCCGAAGGAAGTCAAAGGAACTAATGCGGCAGAAGCACACTGGCAGTTGGGCATTCACATCGTTCTGTGGCGCCCTTACCCCTCTCGCGCCACACCACTGCGGAGGGACAGGTGTACAGAGCGGAAATGAAACACACTGAGTGGGCTCGATTGCAATGGAACTTAAGCCTCTTCAGACGTTCAGGCGAAATTTTTCCTCTTCCAGCGACACAGCGACTAGTTCGAGGGTTACTTTCAGCGGTCATGGAGCACGAGTCCGAAAATCAGATATTTGGCGTATTTTCGCATGTATGGTCAGGAGGCTATTACAGTGATGCAGAGAGCGTAGCAGAACGTTAGGTTCCGGGTTCGTACGAACCCATGTCGAACTGAACGCTGGGAAGTGTCACTTGAGCTAGTGAAAGGAGACACTCCAACTAACACTCTCCTGACAAACCAGGCACGCATGACAGCAAAAAAGCGGAAAGTGCAAATACTACAGCTTCAAGCACGTGATGTTAGCGCACATTGCAGCCTTTCAAGCTTCGTACATTCATAACACCATCGGTGGTCCAGATTACATTCCCCCAGCTAGCTGAAGTCTGAAACAACTTTATGCTGGAACAATGAAGGATAAAATGATAAAGTCTCGCCGTCGATCAATCCCTTTGTGGGATGCGGCACGCATTCTACTTCCAGTCTGAATCGTAGCGGCATACTGAATGCTATGTGGCCTATACAGTGGCTTGCGAGAGCCATCGATGTGCTAGTCAGTGTTCTTATCCTCCTAGACGATTCGGTACCAAGTTAGTGTCCTCGTATTGAGGCCAGCCTGGCGTGGGAAGGAGTCGATTGCGAATTCCATCCCAGAACGCGGGCGTGGTAAGCGTGCCACTTGCCACTGCTTATCGTTGGGAAATCATATCTGTTTGGGTCGATCACCTTGTTGATAATACAGAAGCGTTGTTAGAAGGCTTGAGAGGTCCATGAAATTTTCAAAAAAAGAAGATATTCTAAGCGTTTCGGGTAGCATCAGCTTTCTAAGAAGAATATGGACTGCAGATATATGGACAAATTAGGCACGATGGGACTGTTTTGTTTTCAAATAGTTCAATATTTAGAGAAAAATGAAACATTACAGAAGGGAGCCTTTGTGGACAACTGGTAATTAGGTGTTTAAGAAAGTGGTTAAATACGTAAATGTCGTGACGGCCATTTTCAGTTAGAGAGCAGGGAACCCATAAAGTGAACCCACTACTGATGATGGTTCCACGCGAAGCACTTGGTCTGATTTTGCACCATGAGGTGGGCGTAACAAGCCACACCTCGTGACTTTTTAATATGCTCTCCCGGCCCCTTGAACTTTCTGGAATATGGATGTGCAAGTTTTATAAAATGACGTGGTTCTCGGAAATGTATGCCGCCTATGCTATTCGAGTATAAGGACTCCACCCCATCCACATTTTGTGGAAAAAAACGCGAGATAGAGTAAAGTGCAATAGCTATAAAATCCTCATCAATTCAATCATCACCGAAGCTCAAACAATTAGCAAAGCACTTTTGAATGCAAATTGAAGATTCAGGGGAAACTGAAAGAGCTATGAGGAAGCCCTTTGACTGAGTAACGTTGGGTGAGTTTCTTCCTAAACTCACTCGATTCCACCTATCACTTCTACTCTCCTTGATCATCGAGCAGCCCGAGCAGGTGCCAGCAAAGTATCCCAGTAACGTCCCAATAACGTGCTAGGGTTGTCCAATGGTTTCTCTCTGCTCGAGGGACACGATGAACATCACGCCATTGGTTTAGAGCTTCCTCGAAAAAGTTTGACCATGGAGTAGAGAGTTGTCCAGGTGTTCGTTCATCCCGTAGAGTTTTTTTTTCTTTACTGAAATTTCAATGCACAAATGGAGGTAACAAATTACTGTTCTATACACTCGGTTTGGAAATGAACACTGGTAAAAGCAATACTTTTACATGATGGAGTATGACTTAGAACAGTTCCAAATACCAACAATTTAGCGTTTTCAAATACCCTTATTCGAGTCTACCAACAGTTGAGCCTCGTCGACAGTGTCACCAACCTTTACTTTAACGGTTTTCACCTCTCCCGTTTTGCCTGCATGTAAGCTGTTTCGCATCTTCATTGCCTCCATGACTACAAGCTCCTGACCCTCGCTAACCATATCAACAGTTCTGTCGATTGTAGCTTCGGTCCAACGCGTAAGGTGCCCGGCCCACTTAATCTTCGATCGTGGCGAATAGCAGTGACCGCATATTCACACTGCTTTCGTAGAGGATGAATTACCTACAGAAAAGACAGTAAAGTCGGAGAACTGGGCACGGAACCGGATGTTCTTCGCATTTTTCACTACTCCCTCGGACTTACTCGAATATTCGATCAGTCTTCG